AATTGTTTTGTAAAAAAACTTTCCAATATATATTTATTTCTACCATCAAATGTTTTGTTTTATACTTATGATGATGTATTCTTTTAAAACTTTTTTTCCATTCTCGCCTATTAAGTGGATTATACTTTATTTACTTTTATCTCTATTGGCTAAGAAGTCATATTACTATTTATTAGGGATTTCCCATAAAAATTTAACATCCATACTTGATATCTAGAGATAATCCAAATTTATGCCTTTCTTCTGAATAAAAGAACTTTCAATATTTTAACTCCAATCTCCATTCCTCCCATTTTATAAATTACTGTTATTTAGTACTCTAATTCCACCTCATTTTTATATCTAATCCACCATTAATGATATTTTACTTTTTCCCTCAGTCCTTGCTCATTTAGATTTGTCCACGATTTTGTTTTAGTTTAGATTGTTTTTTAAGTTGTGGTTGTTTGTTTTGGGGGCTTTTTGGGGGTTTACCATTAGTTCTTGAATCCTTTGATCTGTGTTCAGTTTTCTTCTTCCTGAAGTGTAGTTCTTTCAGCAACACTTCTCACATGTTGGACATATGTTGGACCCCCTTTCGCTTCTGTTTCTTAAGCACGCTCATATAATTGTTATCTTGTATTTGAGCTCTCCGCCTCTTCACTTCACTGTCTGCACTTACATTCTGCTATTTAGCCCATCCCTCAAGCTTTGAGTATAGTGAAGTTTTTCATTACCAGAAGATCTATCTGATTCTGTGAACCTCTTCTTTTCCACTGGTTTTCTTCTTTGAGATTTAGTACCTTCTCTCATTTGTTTAATTATTACAATCATGCCCGCTTAATCCATCTTTTTATTTTTTTGAGAGAGAGAGAGAGAGAGAGAGAGATCGTACACAAGGGGGGAGGGGCAGAGGGAGAGGAAGAGGGAGGATCTTAAGCAAGCTCCAGGCCCAGGGCAGAGCCTGATACAGGGTTTGATCTCTTGACCCTTAGATCACAACCTGAGCCGAAATCAAGAGTCGGTGGCTTAAGGGACTGAGTCACCCAGGTGTCCCCCATTTAATCATTTTTAAATCTAAAGTGTGTGAGGTGTTTATTCTCCTGTTTGTTTTTTCTGATTTTTCTGTCAGTAGATTGTTTTCTCATATATTTTTATTTTGTAAATTAGAAGCTCATTTTGAAAGGTTTCTTTTTTCCCCTGTAGGAATTCTATATGCAAAAAAATTATGCAAGTATCTTCTAGAATAGCTTTGCATTTGCTTCTATTGGATACCCCAGGTAAGTCACAAAACTTTGGATGAATTTGCATTATAATACAATGTAAACAAACAGAAGAAGTAAATTCACACTTCAAACTATTTCTAGTTGCTAAGACTAGCTTTGGGTTTCAACCAATTGGAAAGATGAGCTACATAAAGAGGCTTGATTCCGTTTCATATCTATCGTTACCCAGAAGACTCATTACCTGTCCTTATGGGGCAGTAAAATCCCAGCCCCTCTTCATTACCAGATATAAAAGCTCATTCCTTTTAAGAAACAAAACAAATGAAAGGGGGAAAAAAAGAGAGAGAGGAAGACCAAGAAACAGACTCTTAACTATAGAGAACCAACTGGTGGTTACCAGAGGGGTGGCAGTGCCGGGGGAGGGGGGGAGATGGGTTGAATAGGTGATGGGGATTAAGGGGGCACTTGTTGTGATGTAAGTGTTGAATCACTAAATTCTACACCTGAAACTAATATTGCACTCTGTTAACTAGGATTTAAAAAAATTAAAAAAAAATCTCATTCTTGGTGTTTTCTTGTCAACTTGATTGCTTACTGTGTAGGTTTTCCATTTTCTTTTTATTTGTTTCTCAAACATTTCCCTTCCTTCTGATCAGACCAGCTTTGCCTCTAAAAATGTATTGTTAAATGATATTGTAACATATGACTATGCTTTCTCGTGTAGTTTGAAGTGGGCCCAGCAGTCAGAATTACCTAAAGATCCACACGTTTGCCGGGACTAGCATGTCCCCAGGGGGAGACATCGTATCCAAACCCAAAATTTCACATGGATGGGAATGCCCAAATTTTCCAGGTACTCATACCTAAACACAGACTATTTGGCACTAAAGCAGCTTGTTTACCCTCAAGTCCTACAAGACCACTCATACTTACATGAATAGTAACCATGACAACAGGAAGGAGGCTCTTCTGAACAGCAGCCCTGTGTTGTCCACATGGGCCTCACCCAACCAAGCAGAAAACCATAAAAAGGAAAAGGATTAATAGATTTAAGTGATTATATAATAAATGCTAAATATGTATAGCAGAGAAAGAAGATTCAAATGATACATAAACAAAAAATACTCACTTCCCACAAATGAAAGACTGAATATGTTCATCAAAAGTGGCTTATGTTGTTTCTGAAAAATAAATCACTAGACAGATAGATAGACATAAAATGACCAAGAATAAGTTTCACTTTAGGAACTATTTTACTTATACTCTAGGGTAAAAGAAGCACACAATTACATTACTATTATATTGAACCAAATATCTATTATAAGAGCAAACAAGCGATGAAGGTATAAAATAAGTTACAACAAATCTCTAATTTTAAATTTTGAATTAGAAATATCAGTGTGAACTCAGGATTTTTCTCCCTTAAAATTTTTTTTTTCTAGTTTTGACCTCTGAAACAATGTATAATCAGTGCTTCTACGTACCATTCTCCTCTAAACAACCTAGAGCTGCTGTAGGAAATGTACAGGAATATTTTGGAATATCTTGGCACAAAAAACAAGGAAGCTACCCTTAAAGGCTAAAGGATTGTGTCAAGAGCCAGCTTGATGGGCTCCCACAGCAAAATATGTGACAATTTGAGCATCAATGAGAATAATGATTGCAATTGTTTAAAACTCACTAAAAATATAAAATTCTATGAGTTATTAGTGATATTAAAGAAAGAATAAAAAAGAAATAAAGTATAACTCATTGCACAATATCGGAGGTTACTAGGGCACAAAATCATTTTGAAAATTGGTAACAAAAGGAAAAGAACAGCATTTATCCTGTCTTTGCAGTATGAACTGTGTTGCAGAGGAATCAAATATCTTCAGTGGACGGGGGCATGCTCTGGTCTGTACAAAAACTGCTAGTAAGTGCAGAAGGAGTCCCAGAATTCGAAAAAGCACCATTTTACAACTTCTAAAAAAATAACAACTTCTAAAAAAATAACAACTTCAGACAATTTTCATCAATGGGCTATAAAACTGCTAGATGATATGTCGATGGAAATTTTTATAATGAAGGAAACGGAGTGTCAGCACCTGAACCCTGAACCCAAGTATCTCTTAAAAGTGAGACAACCAGACTTGAAATGCCTTCTAATAAGATGCAGTGTGAAATGACAGCACCATCCGCGATGAAATTTGAACCTGAATATAAGTAACCCTCCAGATCCAACTCCCGGTCTATAGGAAATACAAGAGAAACAAGTGAAATCATATCAGGAGAGAACAGTCGGCAAAATTCAGAACATGGAACAGGCTCACTTTTTTCAACATTTAAAGCAAAAAATGAAAAAAAAATTAAAACGAAGAAAGAATTTTTTTTTAAAAGATTTTATTTATTATTTGACAGAGAGAGACAGCGAGAGAGGGAACACAAGCAGGGGGAGTGGGAGAGGGAGAAGCAGGCTTCCGGCCACCCGATGAGGGGCTGGATCCCAGGACCCTGCGATCACAACCCAAGCCAAAGCAGACGGCTAACGACTGAGCCATCCAGGCAACCCGAGAGAATGTTTTATAATAAGAACTTAATGAGAAACTTAGCGATATAAGAAAATACAAATAATGAACCCTATTTGAATCTTCAATCAACCAAACCCACAGTAAAAAAAACATTTTTGGACAAAATAGCAATTTTGAAGTTTGAATATGGGCTGAATATTACAATATTGAATAGTAAACGTTATTTATATTATTATAAACATTATATTATTTTAATATTGATATTAAACACTATTAAACAATTAACAGTATTAAGTAGAAATATAACTGGCTTTTTTGATGTAAGAAAATGTCCTATATTTTCTTAATTCACACTGAAATGTTTAGGGGTAAAAAAACATGACATCAGATTTGCTTTAGAATACTTTCCCCAAGAAAGCAAAGTCTGGTAAGGTAGATGGTTGTTGGGGCTGGATGGTAGTTACAGAGTTTCCTGGTACTCTTTTCATGTACTCTGGAAATTTCCTGATAAAAATAACAAAAGAGAATGATGTGTCTCATAGCAAAGCACCATATTTGAAGAATAAAAAGGAAAACTTTTCAAGTAGTTATGCATATGAAGCTGGTAACCTACAAAGTTTTTTTTTTCCTCTGATAAGTTAAACAGCAGAAAATCATGGAGAAACATCTATAAGGTTGCAGAAAACTTAATGTAACCTGAGACCCCTTGACCCAACCAGGAATGTATTTACAGAGAAAATGCTTTTAAACATGCACTCACTCAGGATTGTAATAGCCTAAAAATCCTGTTTGGAAAAATAATCCAGTCTACTTCAAGATTAATCAAGGTCAGGAATCTATGAACAGGGAATTTGTGTTATGGGAGAACTGGCGAGCGAAAGTGTGAGTCCAGTCAATCATGAGATAATTCAAAATAATTGTGCTAATTATTTTTATAAAACATGACATAGTTTTAAAAATTAATGATAGAGAGCCCAATGTCCTTTAATATCCCTTTATCTATTTTCTTTTATAGTATTTATCAAAATTATTTATAAGTTTATTTTATTAAGATCTGATTCCAATCATGAGTCTATAACCTGGTTAAGAGCAGGGGTCACTTTTTAAAAGTGTGTTTAATTTTCATCACAGTGGGCTCCTAACATCTAACATAATGCCCCCCCATGTAATAGGAATTTAAGAATTTTTTGAATAAAAAATTGAACAATAATTTGCAATTATTTATTAAGGCAAAATCCCCAAAGATGACTATAACATCTTAGAGTTGGGGAAGTTTTACTTTTAGCAGCTGTATTGAGGTATAATTGAAATACAACAAGCTGCCATATTTAAAGTGTACCATTTGATACATTTTGACATATGAACCACAATTGTATCCCATGGAACAAGCACCACAGTCAAGGTGGTAAACATATCCATCATCCCCAGATGTTTCCTTGGGACCCTTTTAATTCCTCCTTGCTCTTCCTCATTCTGTTCCCTGCCCCATGTACAGGTCAAAAGTTACCAAGTAGCACATTTTAAATATGGCAGTTTGTTGTGTATCAATTATACCCTTATCTGCTGTCTGTTGCTATACACTAGTTTGCATTATCTAGAATTTTATATATCCAATCATACAGTATGATTTCTTGGACTTTTTTTTTTTTTGGTCTGGCATCTTCTACTCAGGATAATTATTTTGAGATTTATTCATGTTGTCATGTATGTCAACAGTTCAATTCTTTTTTATTCCTGAGTAGCATTTCATTGTATAGAATATACACAATTTATCCATTCATCTACCGATGAACATTTGGATTGTTTTCAGCTTTGGGTTACTACAAATAGAAGTGCTATGGACATTTGTGTACAAGTCATAGAATGGACATATGCTTTCATTTTTCGTAGATAAACACCAGGAGTGGAAAGCCTGCACCATGTGATAGATCTGTTTTTAAATTTTTAAAGCTATCCAAACTTATAAAGCAGTTGTTCCATTTTATATTCCTGCCAGCAGCGTAGGGGAGTTCCAGTGCCTCCATATCTTTGCCCTACCTTGGTATGGTTCAAGCCATTCTGGTTAGGAGCATAGTAGCATCTCATTGTGGCTTCAGTTTATATTTCCCTAGTGAATCATGGATATCTTTTCATTCCTTATTGGCCATCTGTAGATATTGTTTGGTGGAGTGTCTGTTCAAATCTTTTGCCCTTTTTATTACTGAATTTTATTGAGTTTTGAGAGTGATTCATATATTCTGGAAGCAAGTGCTTTATCAGATATGTGACTTGCTGATATTTTCTTCCATTCTGTTGTTTGTCTTTTCATTCTCTTTACAGTGTCTTTTGAGAAAAGTAACATTTTTAATTTTGATGAAGTCCAATTTATCATGTTGATCTGTTTTTTAAACTGTGTTTTTGGTTTCATATTAAGAAATCTTTGCCTAACCCAAGATCGCAGAGGTTTTTCTTCTATTTCTCCTAGGTATCTTATGGTTTCAGGTTTACCATTAGGTCTCTGATCTACTTTGAGTCACATTCTTGTATATTGCATAAGGTACAGCTCAAGATTCATTTATTTTTTACGTGGAGCTATCCAGTTGTTCCAGCACCATGTGTTGAGATTATGCTATGAATTGCTTTTGCATTTTTATGAAAACTCAGTTGTCCATACATATGCGAGTCTATTTCTGGATGCTCTAATCTGTTCCATTCCTCTCTCTGCCTGTCTTGATGGCAGTATCTACAGTGCACTGTTTTGATAATAAGTCTTAATGTCAGCTAGTGTTGGTCCTCCAACTTCTTCTTCTCGTTCAAAGTTGTTTTGGCTCTTTCAGATACTTCACCATTCATATGAGTTTTAGAATCAGTTTGCCAATTGCTACAAGAAATTCTGCTCTGCTCTCAGTGGTTACTATGTTGACTCTATAGATCAATTTTGGAAGAACTAATATCTTAACAATATCGAGCCTTCCAATGTATGAGCATAATAAATCTCTCATTCAGGTAGGTCTTTACCTTCTCTCAAGCAATGTTGGATAGTTTCCAGGGTACAGGTCTTTCACCTCTTTTGCCACATTTATCCCTACAGAATTTCCTATTTGAATGCTATTGTTTCTTAATTTCAACTTCTGATGTCTTCTTGCTAGTATTTAGAATTGCACCTGATTATTGTACATTGCCCTTGAATCTGGCAACCTTTCTAACCTCACTTAACAGTTCTAGTAGCTTTTGGGGGGTAGATTTCATTAGCTTTTCTACATCAAGTTTTAAAAAGATAGTTTTGGGGACGCCTTAGTGGCTCAGTTGTTAAGCTTCTGCCTTCGGCTCAGGTCATGATCCCAGGGTCCTGGGATCAAGTCCTGCGTCGAGGTCCTTGCTCAGCGAGAAGTCTGCTTCTCCCCCTGCCTGCCGCTTCCCCTGCTTGTGCTCTCTCTCTCTGTCTCTGGCAAATAAATAAATAATAAAATCTTTAAAAAAAAGGATAATTTGAATATAATACTAGTATAAGTATGCTAATTTTCCTTATCTTTCATGGGAATGGGAGGAGATAGGACTAGAGACAACTATTCTAAGCTCTTCTTCTGTAAACAAAGCAGGGAAATGGGGGTGCTACCTGAAAGAGATTCTGGGGGGCGGGTGCTTTAAGAGATAATCTAGGATGTTCTTTATGCTAATGGGAACAATCTGCTGGAGACAGTAGTTTTACTAATGCAGGAGAGAGGGGAAAACTGTAGGGACAATATCCTAGAGTAACTGAGAGGAAATGAGATCTTATGCACAAGTGGCAGGGTTCTTATTTAGGAGCAAGGACAGGTCAACTATTGTAGCATGAGGGAAGGGAGAGCATTCCCTAAAAATGCACGCAGATTGGCGGTTTCGGTGGCGGCAATGGGTGGACGTACCCTGCTTCTGCGGCTTTGGTGAAAGCCGAAGGAAGGTCGTCCTGGAGAGGAAGGAGGGCCCCAGGATTGCTACAGGTTTAAGGAGGGAGAGGAAAATGTGGAATTGTCACATGGAAAGTGAGAAGGAACTTGACCAGGAAAATGGAGTCGGACTGCAAGCAGCGCTTAAGGCCCCTTGGAGGTAAATGTGCTTGAAGTTCGACCAGTGCACCTGACTCTGTGTCCTAGTCCCCCTGCATCCTTCTGCACATGTGCAAGAACAGAGTCCAGGACGCGTTGTACTGAGCATGGGCTGGGTTTTGCTGTTAGTATGACAGGTGCAGAGGAGAGCTGAGATTGTGGTCCATGTGCAATGCCCTCTCTGCTCACCAGCAGTAGGGGTCTTGGGTTCAGCTGGACCATCAAAGTCATGACACCCAGTGGGCTTCACGTGGGTGTAAGAAAGAACAGGTGATGGGCAAGACAACGTGCAAAGTGATAGCATAGAAGACGTGTGTGACTCTTCTATGAACACCACGATTTCCCAGTCGTTCTGCCTTTGGGAGGTCACGAGTCACCAGATGACATCAGCTCAGGGAAGCCACGGGCTCGGGGTCTCCCCAGCTTTTCTACCGAGCTGGCCACGAAGCCCCTTCAGGAGCAAGCTCTCAATTTACAGCTCCCAAGTGCTTGGCCTGGTGCCTAGGCCTCAATCAGATTTTCATTCTTCAATCTGGCATAAGATGAACTCCTAACAATTCCCTGCATTAAAGTTGCAAATAGACTCAACCACTAGTCAAATTCTCTGTCCGTGAGGCTAGAGGAACACTCACAGAACCAGCTGGTAATCCTTTCCTTCCAACAAGAAAATGCTTATAATTATGAACCATGAAATTTAAGCTTTTTAAGGAGGGAATGACATCAAGGACAATAAAGGTCAGTGGCTTTGGGTCCCAGTGGGATCAAAGAAATGATAGAACTGAGGTGAATTCTATATACATGGAGCATGGCATGAGACTGGGTTAAGTGGAATTGAGACTGTGGAGGTGTGCAGTTGTTGGGGGGCTCTGGGTATGACTAGAGCAGGTGGCTGACATGGGTGGGGATAAGAGCTCTGAGGATGAGCAGCTCAAGGGCTAAAGTACTGGAAGGGTCCTCCACTGGTGGGTAAACAATATAGATTAAAGTAGATTAAAATGCTACATTTTTGACTACCTGGGTTTGGCTGAGGCTTCTAGAAACAACTCAAGAAGACTGCCAATACGATGGGTATTTAATAAGATTTATCATTTTGTTCTGTTGCCTTTAGGATAATCCGTTCCTTTAAGCATGACTTTTGTGTTTTAAGCTCCATTCTCATCTTACTGCCAGATCAGCTTTCCTCTTCACCCTGGGCCCAACCAAAGGCCAATCTTCAGTGGACTCTTTCTGGCTCTCAGCATCCCTTCTTCTGGTAAATCACACCATTGCTGGCTCCTTAGTGTCCCCACCAACAGCATCTGTAAATGTGAGTGCATTCACTAATGTGATGTGTGAAACAAAACAAGCACTTTGCAGGGTTTTATTGATGCGCTTCTCATTTCTATTTCTATTTATGTCCTCAAATTTCTGTATGCTGCAATAAACACAACTACCTCTGTTCTTCTCTAAGGCCAAGATGACCACCCATTCTTTTTATGTTGTTTTATAACTTCTAAGTGTTCTTTCTCATTTAGGAACAGCTTTTCCAAAAATCAACACTGTCCCTTAAACTCCAAGTCATATGCACTGTATTCTGTAGATGCAAAGAAAGAAAGTGGAAGAGGGAATTACAATTTGTAAGAATGTCCAGGCACTGGGACAGGCATTTATGAGTGTTCTCTTTTTTTAAAACTCTATATAACCAGGGCACCTGGGTGGCTCAGTCGGTTAAGCGCTCGACTCTTGATATGGCTCAGGTTGTGATCTCAGGGCCCTGGGGTCGAGCCCTGGGTCCAGCTCCGCACTCACCATGGATTTTCTCTCTCCCTCTCTTTCTGTCCCTCCTGCTGCGTGTGTGCACGCTCCCTCTCAAATACATAAATGAATCTTTAAAAATTAAATAAATAAATAAAACTCCATACAACCATCAGGTCAGCTGAAGTCAGTCTGTCCTTTGACATGTAGATAAAATTGATGCAAATGTCCCTTGTCATGCATTGCTCAGGGATTCATGAAAGAGCAGTGAATTCTCAGGGGTTGCTATAGTAGACTTTTTTTTTTACTGCCTCTCTTTCCACCCAGCACTTATTCTCCTTTTCCTACAACTCCTCATTGCCGTTTGTGGATTCACACATGTTCAGGGTTCCTGATCCTGTCTCCAGCCAAAAATCGCCACAGTGGGTAATACCTCTTAGGTGAAGCCGTCCAGTGTGCTCTGCCACCAAGGGCTGGGTGTGTAACCTAGTCTGGTCTAATCAGAGAGAATCTCTGGGCTTTTGTTTGGATATCTGAAGCAAAAAGGCTCTCTCCTGTTCCA